ACGGACACAGGAAAACATGGACACAGGGACAGGTGGACACAGGGACACACGGACACATGGAGAGACAGACACAGGGACAGACGGACACCGGGACAGACGGACACAGGGACAGATGGACAGAGGGACAGACGGACACAGGAACAGACGGACACAGGGACAGACGGACACCGGGACAGACGGACACCGGGACAGATGGACAGAGGGACAGATGGACACAGGGACAGACGGACACAGGGACACACGGACACAGGGACAGACGGACACCGGGACAGATGGACAGAGGGACAGATGGACACAGGGACAGACGGACACACGGACCCAGGGACGGACGGACGGACGGAGGGGCTCAGGGCTCCCCTCCCCCGCACTCCTGAGCCCGCCCCTCCCCCAGGCCTGGAGGGAGAGAGAGAAACGGCGGGGGGGGAGGGGCGGGGGGAGGGGCGGTGGGGGAGGGGCGGGGGAGGGGCGGCCCCGCCCCCCGCGGCGGCGGCGGAACCTGCAAAGGAACGAGGCGGCCCCGCCCCTCCCCCCGCCCCGCCCCCACCCGCGGCGACCCAACAGCGACCCCGAAACGGCACGGCGGGAGCTGAGTGTGCGCTGAGTGTGAGCTGAGTGTGAGCTCAGTGTGCGCTGAGTGTGAGCTGAGTGTGAACTGAGTGTGCGCTGAGTGTGAGCTGAGTGTGCGCTGAGTGTGAGCTGAGTGTGCGCTGAGTGTGAGATGAGTGTGAGCTGAGTGTGCCCTGAGTGTGAGCTGAGTGTGAGCTGAGTGTGTGCTGAGTGTGAGCTGAGAGTGAGCTGAGTGTGCGCTGAGAGTGAGCTGAGTGTGAGCTGAGAGTGAGCTGAGTGTAAGCTGAGAGTGAGCTGAGTGTGAGCTCAGTGTGAGCTCAATGTGAGCTGAGTGTGAGCTGAGTGTGAGCTGAGTGTGCGCTGAGTGTGAGCTGAGTGTGAGCTGAGTGTGCGCTGAGTGTAAGCTGAGAGTGAGCTGAGTGTGCCCTGAGTGTGCCCTGAGTGTGCGCTGAGTGTGCGCTGAGTGTGCCCTGAGTGTGAGCTGAGTGTGCGCTGAGTGTGAGCTGAGTGTGCGCTGAGTGTGCGCTGAGTGTGCCCTGAGTGTGCGCTGAGTGTGCGCTGAGTGTGCCCTGAGTGTGAGCTGAGTGTG